AAAAAGCAGCATCCCTGAGCCAAGCCCGGCCAGAGACAGCCGCAGGAGGAAGTCGACAGCAGAAGAGGGCCAGGTTTGCTAGGGGGGAAAAGTCAGGCCTGATCAAAACCTAGGTACCAATTCACTCCCACTTTACATCCCTGGGCACACCTGGGATTTAAGTGGTATCATCCCGTTGGATTTCTGTCTGCGTTAAGTGGGCCTGCTTTAGAACTCGGCTGGCACAGAAGGAAGACACCGGCTCATTCTCCCATTTTCTTTCTTGCTTGCTCCCTCCCTCTCTCCCTCTCTCCCTCTCTTTTTCTTTCTTTCTTTCTTTCTTTCTTTCTTTCTTTCTTTCTTTCTTTCTTTCTTTCTTTCTTTCTTTCTTTCTTTCTTTCTTTCTTTCTTTCTTTCTTTCTTTCTTTCTTTCTTTCTTTCTTTCTTTCTTTCTTTCTTTCTTTCTTTCTTTCTTTCTTTCTTTCTTTCTTTCTTTCTTTCTTTCTTTCTTTCTTTCTTTCTTTCTTTCTTTCTTTCTTTCTTTCTTTCTTTCTTTCTTTCTTTCTTTCTTTCTCAGGCTATGTCTAGACTGCAAGCCTCTTTCGAAAGAGAGCGTCTAGACTGCACGCGGAACTTTCGGAAAGAACGCGACTGCAGTCTAGACGCAGGTGAAGTTTTTTCGGAAAAAGGCTACTTTTCCCGAAAAAAACCCCGAGTCTGGACACAGCCTCAGAGTCTTCCTCCATCTCTGCCTTTCACTTGCTCGCTAGCACCATCTCCCCGCTTGTGTGCAGGGACGGCTCCTGGGACTCTACGCGCATTTGACTTGCGCTGCTAATGGCGGAGACACGCCGAGCAGCAGACACACTGGGCGCCGAGCAAAAGGCCTTGGGTGACAATTGAGCCAAACCCTCACTGATAAAGAGCGAGGAGAAGCTGTTTCTTGCCCAGCCCCCGGAAGCGTCTTCATTCTCTTCCCGGTTTTATGGCTCCAGCCGTGGGTTGAGTCGTGCTTTATGGATCTATCCGCCTCAGCCCCATATCCAGATTGCTTGAGTGTTTGGTAATAAATCGGAGCCCCACGAACGGCTGCTTCATAGAAGCATTTTCACCTTTTTTTTTTTTTGGTTCCCTTTCAATGGCAGAGAGCGTGAGAACTCCCGGGTTCTATTCCTGGCATGGCCGGCGAGTCTCCGCCTTGTTCCGTGCCTCAGTTTCCCCATCTGTCCAATGGGGGATTTGTTTCCCCGGGAAGGTTGTGAGGAGTCCCCCGTGAACAGCACTCGGAGATCCCCCAATGGAAGGCGCTAGAGGAAGGAACAGGAATGTTGTGTAGACATGGATTTTCCAGGCTGGGTGTCATCTGGGTTTATGCAGCCAGGGCTGGAGCCAAACTCAGCAACGATGTGTCCCAGGCACAGGACAGAGCTGATGCAAAGCCCAGAGGAGCTAGGGAAATACCAGCCTGGGAGGCCAAAAGGGCCAGGAGGTCCGGATCGGAGTTTGCTGTCCTGGCGAAGGCCTGTCGGGTCTGGAGTGAGGAGAGGGCAGGGTCCCTAACCCAGCAACTCCCGCACTGGAAAGCGGGGGCAGGGGGCCCTTTCTGGGTCAGGGGCCGCAGAAAAGTGAGAAGGAAAAAAAAAAGTCACTGCCGTGGCCCTCGACTGAGAAGCAGAAAGACTTTTCCCCTCGCACACCAGAGCCTAAGGGGACCTGGGCTAGTCGATTTCATGGGACCCTCTAGGCTTTGCAGTGGGGCCAAAAGTGAGGGGTTCTGTGTGTGGGAGGGGGCTGCCTGGAAGCAGGTTTGAGGTGTGGGGTCCTGGAGGGAGGGTGCAGGAGAGGAAGGGGTGCTGGGGTGGGCTGGGGTGAGAGGGCTGGGTGGGAGGTGGGGTGCAGGGGTGGGCTGGGGTGAGAGGGCTGGGT